GCCCTTCCCTCTCCCTTTCTGTTGCCACTCCCCACGTCTTTGTATATGATGCTCCCTCTGCTTGAAATGCTTTTCCTTCCACTCCAGCCCACTTTCTGTATGGACAGCTCCCCTTCATCTTTAAATCCAAGCTGAAACGCACTTTTCCCAATAAACCTTCTCTGATTCCCTTCCTCCACCAAAAGTTATCCACTCTTCTCTGCTACCCATACACGTTGTTCCTGTGCTAACCATGTCACATATTCAGTCTAATTTAATTCAACAAGTAGTGCTGAATTCTTGCTATGTGTCAGGCATTCTTCTTGGTGCTTGAGATGTATCTGAAGAGATAGCTAAATAAAACACAATCACTGCCATTGTGAAACTAATATTTATTAAGGGGGAGCAAACTTAAATAATGTTTTTAGAATATTGGGAGGTGGTGCATGCTATGGGGAAAAAAAAAAGGTAAAGAAGAGTATGGGAGGTTGGAGAGCTGAGCGGTGCAGTTGGGAGTTGCGATTATAAATAAGGTGACCAACTTAGGCCTCATTAGGAAAGTGAAATTTGAGCAAAGAGTTGAAGATGGCAAGGAATTAGCTCTGCAGATTTCTGAAAGAAGAAGGAACTCCAGGACAAAGGTCCTGAGACTGGAATCTGTCTGACTTTTACTGTCTGAGAATCAGTAAAGAGGCCAGAATGGCTAAAATGGAATATAAGCAGGAATTTTTTTTTCCTTGTCTGCCTCCACCAGTTATTTAATCTCCTCGAGGTATCTATGTTCCCAGTACTCCGCTCTGTATCCAGCACAGTGCCCTCTGTAAATGTTGATTAATTTGAATATTCTCAGTAATGACAGCTTGCTAGACCCAGGGCCTTAGACCCTGACTAGAACCATTAAAACCTCTCTAACCCTGACTCCTATCCTTACCCAGCCCCAGACCACCTTTCCCATAATTTCCTCATTTGACTGCAGGAGCTCATTCTCAGTGGGAAATTCCCTCTCTTGTGTAGGATGGACTGTAGCTATCTTCAAAGCCTGGTTTCTCCATGAACAGATGTCTAAAATCTCCTTCACTCTCCCAGAGAACCAGAAAGCTACTGTTTCCTGTCACAAACATATTCTACACCACATCTCTCAATGCCTTCTGAGTACCACGAGGCGAGGTTTATTAATTCTCTTACCTAGACTCGAATGCATTTCCAGAATTTCATAAGACTAGCCCTTGTACACTGTTGACATCGCTATGGTAGTATAGGTTTTGAAGACAAGAAGAGTTAGGATCAAATTTAAACCCTCACTAACTGTGTGTTCTTAGGCAAGTTGTTTAAAGTCTATGAGCTTCTTTCCTCCTTATAAAATGATCCCTACCCAGTAGAGTTAGGAGGATTAAATGAGGTAATTAAAGTAAAGCATTTATTCCTGTGCCTGGCAAAAGCAGAATCGCAGTAAATATTCCTTTCCTTTCCATAACTATGAGTATCTCTGTAACTAATACCCACCTACCCCAAACTCTTTGCACCCAGCAATAACGTTTGATTCAATATACTTTCTTTTTTTTTTTTTTTTTTTGTGGTACGCGGGCCTCTCACTGTTGTGGCCTCTCCCGTTGTGGAGCACAGGCTCCGGATGCTCAGGCTCAGCGGCCATGGCTCACGGGCCCAGCCACTCTGTGGCATGTGGGACCTTCCCAGACCAGGGCACGAACCCGTGTCCCCTGCATCGGCAGGCAGACTCTCAACCACTGCGCCACCAGGGAAGCCCCAATATACTTTCTTTTGATATTGATTTGTGTTCCTGTCTTGTCACATTTTCTGGATTGCTGACACTTGCTCACACCTCCCCATATTGCCTGAACTACTTAAATTCTTATTTGCAACCTGTTCCTGATTTCTGATAACTGCAAATTTCTTCATCTCCAGACAGCTGACCTAGAATGTAGGTGAATGTACCAACTTCTACTTGAGGACTTTTTTTATCCTGCCAGTCTGACTCTAAACTGAAGATTCAGATGAGTTAGAAAGAAATGTTTCTCCCCAGAGGTAGAACCAGGTTTAGATTAAATAATTCTTGTTGAAGTTTAGGATTTGTGAATGAGGAATCAAATTCTATCTAGATTTCTTCTTGCATTTTCTTCAAAACTGACTTCTATAGGGGTAGCTTTTTAAAGGATATTGTTCTTTCATAAATAGTTCTATAAATGTGCTTTTAAAAGTATACTGTTCTTGCACAAATAGTTCTTTTTAATATAATCTAAAAATTATTATTGAGTCAAGTACTTTAGTTCGTTCAAGGGGGTCAAATGTAAATAACATTAAAAAATTCGAACATACTTCTTGCCACGACTTGCTGACCAGTATAAGATTTTCAATTTTGCTTTTCTTGTCATAGTACTTGCTCTTCTTTCTTCATCTCCTTTAAGAGCAAATAATTTCCTAAATGGTTATCATATAAAACAAAAAATAAAGTAACATCATTAAAGTGAGGTCACCAAAGCATCTCATTAGCTTCAAATAGATCTATGCCTCTTCAAAACACCACATATTGGGGGCTTCCCTGGTGGCGCAGTGGTTGAGAGTCCACCTGCCGATGCAGGGGACACAGGTTCATGCTCTGGTCTGGGAAGATCCCACATGCCGCAGAGCGGCTGGGCACGTGAGCCATGGCCACTGAGCCTGCACGTCTGGAGCCTGTGCTCCCCAACAGGAGAGGCCACAACAGTGAGAGGCCGGCGTACCACAAAAACAAACAAACAAACAAAAACACCACATTTTGTACCCATATGTTGACAGATGGCAAGCAGTACTATGCTGAACATCAGCAGTTAGAGCAATTGGATCAGCCACTCAGGATAATCAAGCAGAAAACAAATGAGAAATAGTTGGTTGGCTTGTGGTATTTCATTTTGCAGTTTTCCAGGCACTGTGAAGGGTGAGTCCCTACAAATTCTCCCCAATAGTCTAGCACATGAAAATGCTCCTGTCTTTGTCTTTGACCATTCCACTCTGTTAACTAAACCAGTCTTGGAATTTGCCTCTACTCACACCTTTGCAAAAATAAAGTCGATATTCCTACATCATTCAGTTTCTAAAGGCATCTTGGCATGAAGTAGCCAAGTAAGTTAAACTGGTGTTTCTCAACCTTTTCCCCATGTCTGCACTGATGAGGAACATGGTACACTCACATTAGCACCAGCAAGTGCTTAGAATGGTAGCATGTATGCGTGGTTTGAAAACTCCCTCTGATGAATCTGATAGATCATGCTAGCCATCCTCCATCTCCTAACTGAGATCACAAACTTATGCAAAGTTGTGAGGTATTTTGTTGAATAGCAAATCTCCTTAGAAATCACCATAAGTGAAAAGTACAATTCACCGTGTACCTAAGTCACAGCAATACCAGGCAAAATAAACCTAGGTTTTAAGAACTGTCAGCCTAATTTGTTCTTCTATGCCATGGGTTCAGTAGCTAAATCTCCCTTTGTGGATTAAGGAGAACACTTGGCCCTCTGAATTGCACTATGCCACAGCCAGTTTACTGAATCCTCAGGGACCTATTCAGAGGTGTATCATTAAAACATTTTTCCTTTATCTGAAGGAAACAGTCTTTTAGCAAATCAAAATATGTTTTGTGAAATGGAAAACATTCACTATCTCAGGGAAATCATATCCAGGTTTCAGTCTTACTATCTGATCTGGGTTATGACACCTTTTACTCTCTCTTCTTTTGCTGTTACATTAAGATTTTCCGAGGTCCTATAAAATCCAGTTTCATTATTTTGGATCCTACTTAAAAATAACATTGCTATTACTTTCTTTAACTTTGTCCCAGGGAAAAAAATAATATCATTCTTCTCCTTTCTGCTGTTTTTACCTACTTGGTGATATTGTTAAGTACAGCCTCTATTAATGAAAAGTTTATTCTGAGATTATGGGTGAAACACTCCAAATCAAAACAAAATAAATCAATAACTATGATGTATTGAGCATGTACTATAGGTTTATAATTGTGCTAGGTATTGCATGGCTCTGATAATAAAAGAAAGTTTTGGCCATTGGAGTTTTATAAAGGGATCAGAAGTCAGATGATAATATTCTGAAAATTTTCACTTTCAAAACAGTCATCCAGGGCTTCCCTGGTGGCACCGTGGTTGAGAGTCTGCCTGCTGATGCAGGGGACACGGGTTTGTGCCCCAGTCTGGGAAGATCCCACATGGCGCGGAGCGGCTGGGCCCTTGAGCCATGGTCGCTGAGCCTGCGTGTCTGGAGCCTGTGCTCCACAACGGGAGAGGCCACAACAGTGAGAGGCCCGGGTACCGCAAAAAAAAACAAAACAAAAAAAACAGTCATCCAAAAATTCCTTTGTCTTTCAACTGCTGACCAGCATTGCCACAATTTTCTTAAATCCCCTGTAAGTGCTTTCAATCCAACTACCACAATGTTTCATTCTATCATTTTAGTGAAGATTACTAATTAGCAATTGACAAATAAGTTTTGTTAGTTGTTTGATGGTTTCTCTGTACACAATATTACCATGTTACAGCTGAAGAAAAGTCCTGTGATATGGTTAGACAAGTTGGATTGGAAAATAAGGAAAATATAGGTACTTCCTCTGTCAATAACTGAGTTTAGCTTTGTTTGCTTTTGTGAAGGAGTCATTTTTATGCATTTAATTTCATTAGAACACTGAAGATCTGGCATGGTATTTTAATGGAACTTATTTCAATAAATCAGTTTTGCCTGGATCCTTATAAATATCTGCCCTTGAATAGGAACATAAAGTAAGGTATGGATTCTTGAGCGTCTCACCCACTTTTTATCTTATTTTAGAGGTTTGGTTCATGACGTTAGTTTTCTTCCATTCCTGAATCAATGGCCCTTTGACGCCTAAGAATGAATACAGCTCTATCCTTGAGGCAATTTTTCAGGGAATAAAATACATATTAATCTTTCTGTCTTTCAATACCAAATGTATGCAATCTGAGAGTTCCAGAAGAAAAAAATTATCTCATTTTACTGATAATTATTGCATTCTTTTTAAAAGAATCTATCACATAAAACACAGTCAAAAATCAAACTTGCACAATTACAAAAGAGAAGGGACATATTTATGAATCCAGGGAACAAAGTTTGACACCCTTGTATAAACACCAGGAAAGTTTGGTCTTCCACATCCATGTCCCCAGCTAACAATGCCAGTCAAAATCCATTTTCCATCACTTTTTCTTCGACAGGACAAAGGTCCACCCGAATCTCCCTACACAAGAAAATAATGTAAGTAAAAAGCACATTTGTCCCATGATCATCAATTTTGCATTAAGGTGTCTAATGAATTGTGAGCAAACGCCTACTCTGACAGGTTCTTGCTTGGCTAACTACTATGCAGTTTGGGGAAGTAACAAGAAATAATGTGAAACTTCTAATGTCATTTTAGAATTATTTTTCCTATAATCAAAAGGTGCATTCATCATAAGAAACTAGATTCTTTAGGCTGAGAGCGACATTAGAAGATTCTTGTAGAGGAAACAATTCTCACATACCTCCAAAAAAATAACAAACCTCAATAGTAATAATAATGACAATAATAATAACAGCTAACATTTATTTAGTGCTGCTATGTGCTAAGCACTGTTTTGGGTCATTTAATCCTCACAAGAACCTTTTGAGGCATGGTTATCTTGGAAGGTAGGTTGACTTCTACCTCTAGGTCATGCAACTTTAGTGTTGGCTCATGGCCCTGAGGAAGAAAGAAAAGGAGACCCTGTTTAGCTGACCAGGTCCAATTATGAAACCCCAAGGATCACTGGCTGATAATTATCACAGAGAAATCACCCTCACTTGAGAGTCCTTTCTGACATCTTAACTCCAAAAGCAAAGGCTGAAATAATTCAATGTTTAAACAGAATTCCTCCTGTGCTCAGTATTTAAAGTATAATATTTGGATTTTTATTTCCTTATTTTGGAGCATACCTGAAGCTACACCTTACTCAGAGGCAAAGATAAAGAAAGCATTCCGAATGTGTCCCTGGATGCCACCCTTACAATTCTAAACCCGATTAGGTGAATTCTAACTAGTAGGAGACTGGGATCTTTTTATTTTAACCGTTGCCACACCAACTCTACAAAGTCTAATTTAACCTCTAAACCCTGGTGGCTATGGGGAACAGGACTATATAACCGACTAGCTGCAGGAAGCACCCAAAATATAGTAGCTTTAGCATTACAGAGGTAAATGTTCAAATCCCAGCTCAACTAGCTGTGTGACCTTGGTAATTTACTTAGGCTCTCTGTGCCCCAGTTTCCTCTTCTATAAAATGGGGATGAAAGAATAATTTGAATGAATTTATGTAAAGGACCTAGTACAGCTCTTGCCACAAAATAGGAGCTTAGAAGATAGAAGTCACTACAGTATTATAATAAGATGATTTTTAACGTTATGTAAAGATGCGGGAACAGTTCCCCTGCCCTCCTCATTCTCTAAATCATCTGTTCACTTTTTGGCAATCAAATAGATATCTGCATACATTGGAATCTGAGGCTCATAGAAATGTCCCCCCAAAGGTGACCTTCAACTTCACCACTGTCAGGAGGCCTATCCAGAGGCATAAAAATGAGTGTCCCTGTCACCTCTCCCACTCCTCTTTCCTTTCCCCCAGCCTATGCATTAAAGGAGTAAGTAAATAAAACACTGTTTCTTTAGAAAGTACATGGCCACTGCTAAGAAATAGCTAGTGATCCTAAAACACTGCGTGTGTGCGTTCTGCTTTGTTTTTCAGTTTTGGGTTATAAGAAAATCATGGCAGACTGATAAATCCTGACTTCATTCCCTAATTGTTGGAGGAAAATACATGGCGACTAGAAAATGAGTTTTACAGATCCAATTCCTATTTAATCACCTTTTCCTGATCTCAGACTATTGGATTATAATTAATATATGAATGAAGGTAGGCCCCTGCCCGAGTTATTGCCCAGTGTTGTATAGATTAAACGTGAAGGCATTTATGGAAAGTGCAACATGTTAGGCAAGGGAAACGTAAGATGACTTACCCTGCAAGCATCTTTCTTGCCTGACATGACGCCCGCACAGAGCATCCTCGAAGTGATGATCCCATAGGTGGAAACACAGAGGGTTTGGTCAATGAGCTCTACCTCTGCTTGCTGCAAAACAGGGGAGCCTTTATTGTCTGGAAAACACATAGAAGTAGAAATCACAGTAATGATTACATTTACTTTATTAGACAATTTACTCATTTTCTCCTTTTACCCTCATAACAATTTTTTTAGGTAAATTCTATTATGATAACCATTCTTCTGATGAAGAAATGGAGACTTAAGAGGATAAAGGACTTAAACAGTAGCACAAGAATAGCTAGTAACAGAGCAGGATTCAGACCCAAGGTCTCCCTCGACCATCTTAGCTACTGTGCCATACTCCTTCACCAAGTGCCTCCTGCCTTTAGGACGGTGAATCTGCAACAGTTATTACCAATGCTCACTGGTCAGGAAGGTCCCTTAAGTGGAGCATGTTAACTGACATATGGGAGTATCCTCGGAACCACAAAAACATAACACTGTGGATATAGCTCTTTCACTTCCTTTTCTGACCTCTGCGGCTAAGATGATTCAGAAAAATAAACACTCACACACTCATGCTTGTAAAGAAAATGTCCCATGATATGGTGTTTGAATAGACTCTTTCCTCTTGTGATATATGATGATGTAATTAAAGCCCTGAGCACAGTCCTGATAGGTTATAGGTGTTCGAGCAGTGATCTGCCTTCCCTCAGCAGGGCCAAACAGGTGGTGAATTTCATGATTTCAATAACTAAATGTAGGCAGTTAGCACTGGAGAAGCTGCCCATAGTGAATCTTTAGAGAGTGTCAAAGCAAGGCCAAGATAAGGTTCAAGACTTACAGAAAATGTATCAGTCCTAAGCCCTTGGAAATGACTGCAAGGGAATCCAAGATGACTGGGAGATCAAGGGAAAGCATTAGCTCTAACCTTTGGATTAAAACTTTGGATTCTTCTCCTTACTGTGTATTTAGAATCCTAGGCCATAAAATCCTTGGCAGGACAGACGTAGGGACTTCCCTACTATAAAGTCTGACCTTTGTGCATATGAAAAAAGATGCCCCCTCTGGGTGGAAGAATTGTAAAAAGGCATCCCCCCTGGGTGGATCCATTCTAGGCTGATGAAAGACATGGTCGCATCATCCTCCAGACAACTGTCTATGAGTTGACACAGTAAGGTGTGTGTGTGTGTGTGTGTGTGTGTGTGTGTGACAGAGTATCCTTCTCTTCTTTATGAAAATGAGTCAATTTTTTTGGATGAAAGGGAACTAGCAAACCCCTCTGAGTTTGCAAAGAGCCCATACTATCTATCCAGTCCCTTGCTCAGAGACCTTCCCTTAAGAAGTGGGTCCTGCTTCTTTTTGGGGCAAGGGGAAAGCATCATAAAACAAGAACTATAATACTCTCCTCCATTCCACTTCTCAGAGTTTTTAGAAGGCTCAATGAGATCATATACAAAAACCCTCTCCATGAACCCTAAAGCACCACATCAACACGAGTTACTATGATCTGGAGAGGAGGGCATGGCGTTCACTGACACACACACCTGCTTCGTGCCTTCGCCCCCAGCCGGTCACCCAGCACTTCTCTCCACTGCGCACTTTCTGGCCAGCAGGAGGAATGCATATTGGCTGAATGAGCTGTTTCAAGGTCTCAGGCCAGGCGACACTGAGCTGTAGCAAGGCAATATCATAGTCAAAGGTCTGGCTGTTATAGTACTCGTGGACCACAATTCTTCTCACTGGGGAGACGAACTTGGCATTCCCCTGCACGTACATGCCAAGGTGAGCAGTCCATGGTGTGGGGTCGGAGAGTCTGGTACAAAAGGAATGAAGCACGGAGTCAGAGGCCTGAAGAACCAGACATGGTTTGGAAAAGAGAGCATCACAGAGGGAGGAGGGCTGCAGGAAGGGAGGTCTGACTTTCAGTCCCTATCTTAGTCGTTGCCTCTGTCCATGGGCATGGCAAGAAGCACAACTTCTCTGAGCCTCCCTTGTCTCCTCAGTAAAACCAAAGATGAAGTAAGGTAGAGCAGGGCTGGTGAATGATAGCTAAGGTCCAGAAAATTTCCTCAACTCTAAGGACATGCTGGCGATTTTCTTGCCACCAGTATTTCAGGAATCACACACAGGTCAAGATGGTTAGTGACTGGAATTCATTTGTTACCTTCTCCCTATTCATGCTGACAGTGGTATTCGATGGAGACAGACAGGGCCAGTAAGACAGTGGTCTGGGGATCCTTTTGCCAAATTCAAATGATATGAATACCAAAATAGATGAGAAATCAAAGTATTCCAAGCAGGAATGTAAGGAAACTCCTTCTTGAGAACTACCAGAAGCCTTAAAGGTCACTGCTCTAGGGCTTCCCTGGTGGCACAGTGGTTGGGACTCCGCCTGCCGATGCAGGGGACACGGGTTCGTGTCCCGGTCAGGGAAGATCCCACGTGCCGTGGAGCGGCTGGGCCCGTGAGCCATGGCCGCTGAGCCTGCGGGTCCGGAGCCTGTGCTCTGCAACGGGAGAGGCCACAACAGTGAGAGGCCCGCAAAAAAAGATCACTGCTCTAACTGTTCATACTTGACTCTTCACAGGGTCTCACTCCCTATGAGCCCTTCCAGAATTCTAATCCTGACCCCGCTAGCCTGGCATGAAGTCACCGAGGGTCTTGTAACCTCCACCTGAGGTTTCTGTCTCCGTGGGTGCAGCAGCTTTGCTCTGGTGGGGTGAAAAGCTTTGGAAGAAAAATAAGGACAGATCCCAAAGAGTGTGGCCCCTTATCTGCTTAGCTGACATCTCACGGGCAGCACTGGGGACCCAGGGGAGTATTGAGGGCCACGTATTACTTGGAGCAGTTTCTTAGCATAAAAGACTAATGGTGGAACAGAAGTGTAGCCGTTTTAGTCATTAACATGAATCCTGTAACTTCCAGGAGAAACAAATACTCTAATTATATAAATTCATTGAAATACTCCACTTTAAAAAATTCTGAATGAGAAATGAATGGCATATTTTTGTACCTAAGCTCCAATAGATTCCAAATAAGGTTACTTTTTAGTGAAGTTGTTTTCTGAGCTTCCCTTTCACCCTTAGCTGGGAGAGTGTCTGCCCCATAATAACCCCATTTGTAAAGGCAGACAGAGCCCTTCGGACGACAACCCTAATGGACTTTTTCATGATCCCCCCATGATATTGTGATTTATAATAAGAAATATATACTTGGTTTTCCTTCCATTTCTGGCATAGCATTCCTAAAACCCTTGGAATTTCCTAAGTGATGAGAGGGGCAAATGTGTCTTTTGTTATGTTAATGAGGTTACTTTGGGACTGCAGCTAAGGCTGGGGGCTGGTCACCAGGAGAACTAACTATGTGATTGGAGGGTTAGAAGTTTCAGTTACACTCCTGACTTCTAGGGAGGAATGAGGGGCTAGAGGTTGAATCCATGGCCAATGACCAATGATTTAATTAATCATGGATGTGTAAGGAAGCTTCCATAAAATTCCAAAAGGACGGGGTTTGGAGAGCTTCCAGGCTGGTGAACGCATGGAGATTCGGAGAGAATGATGCACACCAGGAAGACATGGAAAATTCTGTACCCTTTCTCATACCTCGCCCTATGCATGCCTTCCATCAGACTGTTCCTGAGTTATATCTTATTATAATAAACTAGTAAGCCAGCAAGTAAAATGTTTCTCTGACTTCTGTGAGCTGCTCTAGCAAATTAATAAAATCCAAGGAAGGGGTCATTAGAACCTCCACTCTATAACCAGTCAGTCAGAAGCTCAGGTGACAACCTAGGCTTTGGATTGGCATCTGAATTAGGGGGAGAGGGGTAGTTTTGTAGGACTGAGCCCCTAAACTTTTTGTTTTGTTTTGTTTTTTGCGGTACGCGGGCCTCTCACTGTTGTGGCCTGTCCCGTTGCGGAGCACAGGCTCCGGACGCGCAGGCTCAGCGGCCATAGCTCACGGGCCCAGCCCCTCCGCGGCATGTGGGATCTACCCAGACTGGGGCACGAACCCGCGTCCCCTGCATCGGCAGGCGGACTCTCAACCACTGCGCCACCAGGGAAGCCCCCCTAAACTGTTTAATCTGTCTACCTGGGTAGACAAAGTCAGAATTGAGTTGAATTATAGGACACCCGGCTAATGTCAGAGAATTGCTTGGGACTGTAGGAATCCTCCCCCGCTCTACACTGGAAATTGGATGCAGAATCGCTACCCTCACGCTCTAAATAGGGATTCCTGTACCCCAGTAATCCCTTAATACCCGTTCTCCACACATTCCAATACTCCACAGTCTTCACACATTCTCACAGAATTTCTTCTGACTTGAAAGCCCTATCCTGTTTTCTCAGTCTGGTAAAAGCCTGTTCGCTCTTGATATTCCTTTGTGTTCTTCTCTTTATATCAATAATTCCTAAAAAGAATGTTCGGCATACAATTGATGTCACAAAAACAAAACAAAATAAAAAACCACCAATTGAAATGATTGAATGTGTCCAACAGGGAGCTTCTTCCCACAACATGGGGGCAGGTGTATGGTCTGTGGTCTGTGGTCACTTCAGAGTAAGAATTGAGATGCCCTACCTGTTTCCATGGAAACAGTGGGCAGCCGAGAGAAGCCACTCCCTGGAGATGACTGAGGCTCCACAGTAGGCAGATCCAACAAAGTGGAGGCTGACTTGCCATGGCCAACCCCCTTCTTGGGTGTCGGTGCCCCCGATGATGCGGTGGAGGGTGGAAGGACTCCTGCTGCAGCCTTTAGGAGAGGAAGGGTCACACAAATTAAAGGCAGACTTGGAAGAAAAACTGGAAATCCAGTCAAGTTTTGAGCTGGGTTGGGAACTGACTAACCAGATAAGTAATTTGAAATCCCCTGCTTATCCAGGGAGGCGAGATGGCAGTCTGTCTGAAACCAGCACCAACAAATCACTACCTCCCTCCTGAAAATAGGCCTTGACACAGAGTCTCTGTACAATAACACACATGAGGGGAGGAGGGGACCTATTAGTAACAGCTGTACTGATAAGAACAGGAGCCCTGGAGTTCAGGTTGTTAGGTAGAGAAAAAAGATTACTTCCAAATGCAACAGAATTGAGAGTGTCCTTGAAGTTGTGCTGATTTGGGAGAGAATTTGTAAGTCCCAAACAAATGAAAACCTAGTTGGACTTACCTGGTAGCACAGTGATTAAGAATCTGCCTGCCAATGCAGGGGACACGGGTTCGAACCCTGGTCCGGGAAGATCCCACATGCCGCGGAGCAACTAAGCCCGTGCACCACAAATACTGAGCCTGTGCTCTAGAGCCCGCGACCCACAACTACTGAGCCTGAGTGCTGCAACTACTGAAGCCCACGCGCCTAGAGCCCATGCTCTGCAACAAGAGAAGCCACCGCAATGAGAAGCCTGCGCACCACAACGAAGAGTAGCCCCCGTTCGCCGCAACCAGAGGAAGTCCGCGCACAGCAATGAAGACCCAATGCAGCCAAAAGTAAAATAATTAATTAATTTTTTTAAAAAACCTAGTTAAGAAAAACTAGTTATCAGAGCAATTATTTTCCAGTATAAATAGTATTGATAAGGATACATAACTAACAAGTTGGCACATGGCCAATTAGAAACCACACAACTAATAATAACATAGGGTGGATTACTGTTCTCAGGTCATAGCTAAGGAACGAACCAGCACTTGACATTGATCACAACATAAGGCATAATTAACAAAGTCATCCATGGCATTCCAGTACCTATTTCCTTTCTCATAGGTTTTTTTTATTTAAGAGCTTATCCCTTGATTAGAGTTATTAGAAAATGAAAGTCCTCAGTATAAACATCTAGTGCATGAATGCTTATTATTAAGAAAGAAGACAGAATCCACTCTAGAATTTTTAATTCTGAGAAACCATTTCAGATTCAGTTCACCAATGTTTACTATTCTTCCCTGGCCTGTGGCAACTTCTGCCTGGGGCATTACACCAAGGAGGAATAAAAATGAAAAACAGATCAACTGAGGAACAAATACAAAGGATCAGAAGGAACATGTTTCTACTCACTGCAGCCTTCCTCATCACTTCCATCTGGACAGTCCGCAGCGCCATCACATTTTGCATTTTGTTTCCTAATGCAAATATCATTGCCGCACTTAAAAGTTCTGTTGTTGCACGGAATACCTAAAAGTGAGCAAAAAAGAAAGAATTTTTCCTATTCAGAGACAGATTTGAGTGAATGACACTGAATTCCGTCCACAAAGGATGGCTTAGCCACAGGATCGGTGTTTGCTGCTCTGGGAAACATGACAGAGGGAAATGAAGCAACCCCACACTGTCCCGTCCCTGCATCTCAGCAGAGCCACTGAAAGGAAGGCAGGCAGGTGCACTAGTTGAGAATCAACCCAATAGTCTCTCCTTTCTTCCACTGTAGGGGAGATGCCAAGCAGTTGGCCATATCCGTGGCTTAAGCCATGGCTTCTTTGCCATTACTTTACCTTGCTCTCCAAGAAAATTTTTGAGCAAAAATCAACACCATACTCAGTCCTTTTATACCATTGGGGGTGGGAGGGAATGGACAGATTTTGTGAATTACTGCACATTTGTTCACAACTCTGGCAGTGTGTGTTTTTGCAGGGGCTAGAATAGACCATACCCTATCACAGTATCTGGCAAATCCCTCTATATCCAATCCTCAGTTTCCTTGAGTCGTGAACAGCATTAAAAGCAAGTCAGCAAGGGAAAGCTTCCAGAATTCACACACACACACACACACACACACACACACACACACACACACTCCACCCCAGTTAAAGTGACCAACTCTTCCACTTTGTCTGGGCCCAGGAGGATTCCCAGGACCTGGGATTTTCCATGGGGAAACTGGGACAAGTCGATTGCCCTAACCCAAGAGATATTTTGATTTGGGCTTAGAAGAGTCTGATTAGAAGAACAGCAAAGTGCAGAGGACTCCTCCTCACTCTGAGTGCAATTCTGCTCATCCCGGCCATCCTCACAGTCCCTGAAGCCGTCGCAGACCAGAGGGCCGTGCTGCCTGAAGGAGCTGGAGTTGCAGGCAGGTCTAAGAGTCACTGGAAGGAGAACAGGCAGAAAGCTCGTGAGCCTGAGATATCAGTGGGACTCCCTGATGACCAGCAGTGCCCCCAAAACGTGCACATGGTTAAGATGACTTAAACAAAACAAAACATGTGTTTTCTCAAAACTGACACCTCCATGAGGAAAAGCAGATGTTTAAATTTCGGTGTAATTCTTAGCGCTTTGAGTTTGTCAGATATGACTTTTGCTTGTGGAGAAATACATTAAACTCTGGTGGTTTGTTTCTTTAATTACAATTAAACGCATCATAAGATTTTAAGGAAAAGAAAAATCATAAACTGTTATCTAAATTGGACTCGTCTACCTTCCTAAACAAAACGGAGTGTCCTGAGATTGGGGATTTTGATTTACTCATCTCTGTTCTTCAGGCGCCTGATCAAATATTAGGTGCTCACTAAAAGTTTGTTGACTAGATTAACGAATGTGAGATCTTAAAGAACAACAGACTTGTAGTCTATTGGTAAGGAAAACTCTCTTTAAAATTATTTTACCCTGAGACATTCATTGCCTGAACTAGGAAATACCAGTGTAAATCTGTTACAATTTTTCTTCTTTGGAATATTTTCGGGAATTGCCTTTAGACCAGTGACAGACACAATATAGTAGCAAGCACTCTTAGAAGGTATAATTCCTTAGACATTTCTGGTTTTTTGAAAAGTTATCATTTTCGTTATCTGCTCCTGTTTTTTCAGAGGTATGTCTTGTGAGGAGCAGGGGGGAGGACGTTGCTGCCCTGAAATAGTTCATTTATTTACTCTGAGAGTATCTAGTACCTAGTCAACTCCTAGAGAATAGCTCCCAACATGGCATGATGAGAAATGATAATTACTAAAAAACAGTCCTTGTTATGAAGCAACAGTAATCACTTTCATTTGGAGCATAATAGTAGGGAATAAAAATAACATAAGAAACAAAAGCAACCTCAATCACTATACAATGGTATTTATTTTCTTAAGAAATAGAAGACCCTATAGATTTAAATTGTTAATGAAGCCTAAGTTAAGAGGGTTTTAATTTGTTTTGTCAATAAAAAAAAAAGGTGTAGAGTTACAGGTTATTTTTAATGAACATAATTTTTCAGCTAGTTATATTAACTTTAATATTTCTCCAAGATATGAAAAAGATTAGATAGCTTCATCATTGCAATTGCATTGGAATTAAACTCTGGATCTTTAGGAGAAAGTGTTGCCAGTGGTGTCATATGGTCCAGTGAACTATTCTCCCCATTTTGCTCCCTGAAACTGGAGATCGATTCAGGAATTAGGTGCAAATAGTAATGAAAAACCAATACAGAGACTCTCTGCCCAAAATAAGAATATCCAATACCCCACCACTTAGTTATTACCAATGTGATATTGATGCAAACTATACAGGTTAAAAAAAAATCAATTCTTTTATTCTCAACACCTGTGCTCCATAAATGAGCATGCTGAAAGTGTCTACTTCTCTGCAGATTCTGAACTTCTTTCTAGAGGGAAGATCCATGCTTTAAAATAGGATTATGTTTAAGATTGTGGCTGATTGATTTACTAACCATAGATCCTCATTCTCTATGATAGTATTATGCATCCCCCACCCTTGCCATGGCCCCAAAGTGTGCAGAATAAACTTCCCTGCCCATTGACTATGGCCTCAGCTATTTGACCGATGGGATATGACACAAGTGATGGTGTGCCAGCTCCAAGCCCAGGACTTAAGAGGAACCTTATATTTTTGGTCACCCCTCCTTTGCTTTTACCACTGCCAGGGCCAGGCCATTGGCTCGACAAGGAAAAGAACCATGAAGAGTAGAACCAACCCCAACCTGAGAAGAACCAAGCTCAGGAGGCTCCACAGCTTAAAGCAGTGCCACCCAGCTGAGCCCAGCCTAGATTGGTCATACCTGAGACAACACACAGATGAATGATCCAGGACAAATGATTGCCGTAAGCCACTGAGTTTGGGGGATAGTTTATTATGTGGCAATAGATAACAGCTACAAAGACCCAGGATATGCATTAGCAGCAACAGTGGTCCTGACAAACTATTTATTCCTAAGAAAGTCATAGTAAAAGCTTAAATACCCACCACAGAAGAGTTCATCACTTTCATCAAAGCAGTCATTTACTCCATCACAGCGCTGGGCCTGAGGGACACATAAACCGGAGGAGCATCTAAAAGATCCAACAGGACAGGCTAGAGACAATAAGACATAGGAAATCTGTGTGGGTCCCTAAAAGTCACCAGGCCACATTAACAAAGAAATGTGAATTGTTAAGTGGCTGAGTGGCAACATGGCGGTAGTAATTATACAATTTCTCCATCAAAGCGAAGCTATAGCTGGTAATTGAAAGACCTAAAAGGAGTATTTAAGAACAAAGAAATCAAACTAATCCACCAGAAGCTCTGAGTCGACATTGCAGCCAGGTCACACGTACAAATTCCTACACCTCCATCCTTGACTCAGCAACCTGGCTTTATCACAGACTTGAAGAAAGAGAAAGCTGGAAGATGCCTTTGAGTCCAGTATGCTCAGTGTGCAGTCTTTAGAATCCCCGGGGAATTTAAATGGCCTTCTGGTGTTTCTGAATCCCCTGTGACCAGATGCATTATTCTGAGGGTTTGTGCCTTTAATTACATTTTCAAGGGATCTCTATGGCAAAATGTATTAGTAACCGCTAATCTTAGAAGTTGAACCTCGAGAGATTAATGACTGGTTTCAAAACTCAGGACTCCTAGGGCACTTCAACCAGGCTACTCATCAAAGATCCATTCCCTGGAATGGAATCTTTAATCCTGGGCTTATAGCTAAACATGATAGTAGTAATAAATCCTTTCTCTCTGCCGTGGTCTGAATATTTGTGTTCCCCAGCCCCCAGATTCATATGTTGAAATCTTAATGCCCAGGGTGATGGTAGGGGGAAGTGGGGCCTTCAGGAGGTGATAAGTGATGGAGGCAGAGCCCTCGTGAATGGGATGAGTGCCTGCCTTATAAAAGAGGCCGCATGCTAACACATATATAAGGAATTTAAGAAAAAAAAATGTCATGAAGAACCTAGGGGTAAGACAGGAATAAAGACACAGACCTACTAGAGAATGGACTTGAGGATATGGGGAGGGGGAAGGGTAAGCTGTGACAAAGCGAGAGAGTGACATGGATATATACACACTACCAAACGTAAAATAGCTAGCTAGTGGGAAGCAGCCGCATGGCACAGGGAGATCAGCTCGGTGCTTTGCGACCACCTAGAGGGGTGGGATAGGGAGGGTGGGAGGGAGGGAGATGCAAGAGGGAAGAGATATGGGAACATATGTATATGTATAACTGATTCACTTTGTTATAAAGCAGAAACTAACACCCCATTGTAAAGCAATTATACTCCAATAAAGGTGTAAAAAAAAAAAAAAAAGAGGCCGCACAGAGCACTCTCACCCCTTCTGCCATGCAAGGGCACAACGAGAAGTCTGAGACCAGAAGACGGCCCTCGCGTAACCATGCCGGCACCCTGATCTTGGACTTCCAGACTCTAGAACTGTGAGAAATAAATTTCTGTTCTTTATTAGCTACCTAGCGTGTGCTTCGTGCAAAAGAATGGGGAAGGTGCATGGTCAGGTCAACCACTAACTCAACGGCACACGATGGAGAGCATGAGCTCCTAGGAAATACTCACGGTTTGAAATAAGAGTTAAAAATAAGATGGCTTACTAGTTACCTGTATCATTGATGGGAATTATAATATTCTGATATTCAGAAGTGTAATAATTCTGAATCCAGAAGCAGGTATGTTAGCATTGGCAAAGAAGGAAGGGTCTAACTGAGCTTTCTCTCAGGACTTAACCTCATGGATTCCTAAGTGGTCAACTCTTACTTTCCCCCTTTTAAAATGGGTTGAGACACAATCACTGTTTCTCCAAGCACAGAGTGGCATCCCAGTGGCAGGAGAAGCGACTGTAGGTGGAATACAGATGAAAGTCTCCTATTTGAATTGTCATATATTTTAATTTCTACTACAAAAAATACAATTAGATTATTAAACCTCAGAGGCTACCTTTTAAGACAAAAAAAAAAAAAAAAAAAAAAAACAGGTTGAGAATTTCCTGAGTCAGTATCTACTCTCTCCAGCACTAATGACTTCCCTAGGACATCGCCTTTCCTGCTGACCGCTTCCTGGCCACTGTTCCAGCAGTTCTCAGTGTGAAGTTCAACACTCTGCAGGCTGCTGTTTGGACTCTCCTTGAAAGACCAGCCCTTCTATGCATCAGAAGCCACAGTGAGTTGCAGCTGCTGCCCTCCGATCCATCAAACGTTGGCGTAAACCTCATATTTACAAAACATTATGGCTAGCAAGAAGAACAATGAATCAAGAAATTGTCCTATATTTCAGGAATCATGTAAGAAACTATTTTTCAATTGTAACAAACAACGATATTATTTCTTCTATAATTTAAACTCCAGCATAATAAATACATAATTGTATGTAGTATTTATCATATATTTTGTTCCTACTATGTAGTTATTTAAATATTATTATAAAAGTATACTAGTCAATAGCAGAAATAAAGAAGCAGTTTTCATTCCTTAAATTCTCAACGCTTAGAGTCATAAAGTGTTAGCCTCTGTTTAACCCTTCATTACGGTTTTCTAAGGGGCTGATCCCCGGCTTACGTTGACTGATGTTGTAACTGCCATATTCCACCAAAAGTGGCTTGTCCGAAAGCCTTGAACTGCACTGAAGCTGAACGTGAACCAAGGAGTTGGGCACTCGGAAAATCGTCTGGTGATCCATGTAGGAGCCGCAGTACCTGAGGAGCAAGGGTAGGGGGACACACAGCATGAGGGCCCGTCAACTGCATTCCTGTCTTCTGTCAACAGCAAATTCACTGATACTTTGGTCATTTGAGCTTCATAAACGGAGATGCTTATGGTAGAGCTGATGGTAGTTATCCATCCTATGCTAAGTGATTGCCACTGAGTCACTTCTGTCCCCTTGATTTTCTCCTCTGCTAAATAAAACAATAGTGTTACTACCAACTGTCACCTGTTGCTTTCCTCACCAATACTTATAATTAGAAGAAATACAGGTTTAATTCTCCTAGGCCTCTCTCTTCTTTGAACATAAATAACTGCCTAACAAAAAAAAGAACTGCCTACTCTGGCCGCAAACCTCTCTGTGGGGCAGAGTGGAACCCATGAACTCAGGTTGAAAACATGCAGAGAACTCCAGCAACACTTAAAGCAAAAGACAACAATCCTTCAATCCAAATTGAACTCTGATATGCACTTCAGGGCTTGTCCCTGGCAAAATTTCAAAATAGTGATGTCTGTCTGCAATATTCCCCTACCTTGGTTTTGCTTTGCATCACCTAGGAGAAAATGTCCCTCCTATTAGTAATCCTTGCATGAGCACTGCCGTTAGTGGAACATGAAGTACAATTACACTGGGGCCCCATGGTGAGTCAGGCTTCTGCCTTGTGTAAGCAAGACTTTCCCAGGTGTCTATTGTTTCTCAAAGGGAAACAGTAGACACTAGGCTTGAAGGGGGACGTCCTCCACTGGAATCTGTGAATGCCCATCACTCCAGGTCCCCAAAGCATTTGGGAACCACACATTTCATGGATCAGATGTTGGCATTCAGTGTGAAGAGCACGGGGATAACCTATCATTTTACAGTTCAAAGCATTCACGTATATTTCAGGATGAATCTTTTGCAATTGGCTGAAGCCTGATTCAGAAGCCTGCATTCTAAAACCATGATGATTATTATCTGTATCTCATAGTTTTTATTGGAATTCTCCATTAATATTTACTAGAGTTTTCTTGCAAAGATTAGCCTCACTTCGACATTAAAGAGGAGTTAAGAGGAAAGGGGTCAAGCATGAAACCATGCTTGGGCTGGAGTTTACAGGGGGACAGTATGTAATGGGGCATAGTGGTGGTTTATGAAATGAAAGTAAAATAAAGCGAGAGATTGGAGAAGCCCAGCAAGTGTTAGTTTACATGAGCAGACACGTGACAGGTAAGAAAACTGAGACATAAAGAGGTGAAGTAATTCGTTAACGTTCAAATAGCTAGTAAGCAGAGGCAGCATTAGGACCCAGTTCACCGGATACTAAACCCTAGCACTTTCTAATGCACCAACAGCCTTGCCCTCCGGAACTTTGCTGGACAAAAGCTTAGGAAGGCTGTCCATTTCTTCAGGTTTGTATACTGCATTCTAGTTGCCCTGAGCACTCATACTCCACCTCTGTGTTCTCTGAATTCAGGATCACTAGGCTTCCTGGTCTCAGCATTACTTTTTCTCCCTTCTGCATGACAGACCCAAAGCCTTTAGGCTAATCTTAGCAGCAAGGTGCCAGGAATTAGTTCAATTAGAGCCTTTCTAATGAAAAGGACGGATAATGGGAAGGGCTGGCATTTTAAATCCCATGGGTACAACTAGTATCAAAAGAATCTGATAGAATTTCAGCCAACCCACAAGACAAAATGAAGAGCTGGTCCTTCAGGGAAAGTATTTAGGGCAGAGAGCTTTCCTGGTATTTGCAGGAGGAAACTATTCATATTTTGGCAGCAATACATCATGGGTGGCAGGGGTTGCTACTTAGGGGGAAAAAGCATCTCATTTTCAAAGCACTGCTTTATCTTAAGCATACAAGCTTACAATAGATTTGTAAAGATTTGTTTTCTGGACCTCTAATTAAATACCAAAATGCAGTATCTTTAAAGCCTTGGGGCACATTCCATAGTATTTATGCATCCAATGTCATTTCCTTAGCAATCCTATTAATCATATTAATCATAGCTAAGACGTTCTGGTGTGTGGTAAGCATCATTTCATTGAATTCTTACCGAAAAACCCCACCTCATTACCTCATTTTACAGACTGACAAAATGATTAAATAATTTGTCCTAGTTAATGTAGCTACTAAACAGCAAGGCTGCAATTTGAACCTAGGTCTTCTGCCTCCTACTTAATAGACGCTTGATTCAAAAATACTCCCAAAAGGAGTACAAGCCACATGTTAATAATGGATCCAAGAAAACCATTAAATCAGGGAGATTCTATTCCAAGTCATTGATTCTAGGATCAATGACCATTTAGCAAGTCATCTAAGAGTCTAAATGAAATCAAAGAAGGTTGTTCAGGAAAATCATTTAGAAAGGGAAGGTTTCATTCATGGAATAGCTGTGAGCAAAGAATTAGCAGACAAGTCCCTCAGGCTAACTTCACAAGTTTCCTTAAAGTAAACTGAGAAGCTATTTGGCAAAGACAGGGCATCCTGTATTTTTTTTTTAATACAAGACCTATTATAGCTTTAGAAGCAAGTAAACAGTAACAACAGCTAAAGGATGAATTAAGGGAGAGAGTAAGGACCTTCTAGATCAGTTCAGGAAGCCCAGGTGCCTAAACTTCTCTCAGCTTCTTTCTCCTACTAAACAGAATTGGCTAATGGTTTCTAGCTTTCGTAATCATCAGGACTTCTATTTACTATTTTCCTCCATGGCTGCAATGGTTTTTCTGCCAATTATTTTTGTAAAGTATGGAGCATGTACATCCATAGCCCAGCAGTACAGAGCAGTTATGGAAACAGGGACTTGGGAGCCATAAGGACTTGAATCCTGGGTTAATCTCTTATGAGCTGAGTGACTTTGAGCAAGTTATTTAACTCCTGTAGTCCTCAGTTCCCCTGTCTGTAAATAGTAAAGTGCAGACTCTCTGGGGGAAAGGAATCCAAGGCTTTGAACTACTGGGTGAGGCTTTTCATTAGATTCTTCACATATGGAAACCACTTACATGTGCTCATTAATTTCCCACCATCCATGGTCACAGCCTTTCATACTCTTCTTGGTTATTGAATAGTTATGGAATTTCAGTGCTATGCCAAGAGTTGATAGGGGAGTCTATGAAAAACAAACGTAAGTCAGAAAAATGACTCAATTGAAGAATATGTTTCAGACTAAGATTTTGTTACTCAGAACTCATTTCTTGGGCTTGCTATTTTAAGGGCATTTTATTCTCTGTGCCCTGTGGCCCTTGGTGGGGTAGACCAGCTCCCCTGAACAAACTGACCTGAAGAGGAGAGCACAACAGAGAGGGAAGTGAGCTGCCTCCCCAGCCCACCCTGTGCTCAAGGAGCAGCTGTGATGCCCCAGTGTGATGAGCTGAGATAGATACATTAGATCACCTCTAGGTTTCAGTTTCCTCCAAGTAAGTGAGCTTAACTTTGAAAACACCCACTTGTTAGCAAGTTTACACACTTTCCTCCTTAGATGACAATAATGACAGTTTGTTTAAGGCACTATTCTTATTCTTTAGATAAAGGAGGAATGAATCAGCATCCTCTTCATATTAAACCTTGGTATTTCAGAAGTTTCTGAGTCATCCCTACATCGTCTCTGAAGAGATCAAACAAGGGAAGCAGCTACTTATGTGGTACGTGCACAAGTGAGCGCATACACACACACACACTCACACGTACACACACGCAATGCAACTGGCCTTGTTGTGGCATTGTATGACATGCACATACATCACATCTGATATGCCATAATTTTTGTTTTAATTTTCACTTTAGCCCAGGAATTATTTAAGAGAGAGTTCTTACATTTCCAGGGAGCAGAATTTTGGCTTCCCTATTTTCAAGGTTTTAAATTCTATCTGAGTTAGATAACAGATTATTTATTGCAGTATAGTTTTTAATTTTTTAATTTACAAACAATTTTGTTGGGATCAAATTTATGAAGGCCCCAAGGTCATTTTTTTAAAAGGGTAATTTCTGTTTATATATATTACCAAACTCATTATTTGTATGATTTAATACTCTTCCTAGCCTTACTTATTGTCCCCCACTGTCTCTGTCATGAACCAAGAGAAAGGAAAATCTCTTATTGAAGCACTCTCCATTTCTCTTTGTACTACATATAGGTTTTACGAGTATTAACGCTATATCCTTTGGTGCATAAATAATTGTAGTAATTAGATCGTTATGTGGATCGCCCTCTTTATCACTGCAGATTGCCTTCCTTTTCCCTCTGAACGCCGTAATTCCAGCATTGTCTGGCATTAAGGTTGTGATCCTTGCTTTCTGATTGTTTACATACGCCTAGTATGATATTGCCCATCCTTTTATCTTCAACTTTACTAAATCACTTTTTAAATTCATTTTGTCTTTTAAAAACAACATACAGTTCAGTTTTAGGTAATACTTTGCAATTCAATCCTACTGTCTTATCCCTTTAACAGATGAGTTTTGTCCATTGACTTTTATTGCTCTGACAGACATTTGGTTTTTCAGTTATGTCATCATATTATATGTTATAGTTTCTTTGCTGTATGGTGTGCTTCTTTCTAACTTGTGTTTAAATATAGCTCCTCTCCCGCCTTAGTCTACCTTTGAGAGGAAATGCATTGGGCACTTTATGACCGATTTAAACATAACAACATGGTTAGGCAGGTAGTATGATTCCCATCTTATAGAAGAGGAAACCTAGACTAACCAAAGACAAGCAAATTTCCCAACGCAGACCAGAAACTCAAACCAGTCCTGCATTTCTCTGAAGGCCTCCCTTTTCTCAGCACTGCCTGGAAACCCATGTCGGGAACCCCAGAGGAACAGGACTGTCTTTCATTCACCATAAGACTCACAAGGCTCATGAGAACACATATCACACTTTTTTCACTCTTGTCATTTGGTTATTTCTTCACATTAAAAAAAAGAAAAAAGATGTGAACTGAAAGATAGTAAGTATATTTAAGGAATCAATTAAATTTTATAGCATGAGAATATATTCCAATGCAATCCTCCACCAAGAAGCTTGCTTGGGCATTTTCACTGAGTTCCAGAGCGCTGAAACAAAATGGATTTATATGCACCCCAAGCAAAAAGCCTCTCCACAGTGAAAGGAAATATGTCCCCTTGCACACTGATTCCGCTGCCACAGAATCATACACTATTCTACTTTTGTGCTCAGATTGGCCAAGAGACTCTACTGATATTACCGTCCTTGATAAATGGATGGATGAGGTGCAGTTTCACAAAGTATTGCAAGCTATTTCAACAAATGAACGAGAAACGTGAAACTACTAAGTACGCTATTTCCCTCTATGTTCTGTACTCTCTGTTCCCACTGCCCAATGCTGTACCTTTGTTTTGGGAACTTTAACCAAGTAAGAAGAGGAATTCTTCTGATCTGGACCTGCTGTATTTAAATATCTCTCTAGTCAGTGGTGGTAACAAAATGCAGGACATACCTTACTTTTGGTCACCCCTAACTTGCCATTGGTTGTGTACACGTGTACACACAACACAAGAACCCACCTCAGATGAGCACTGGAAAATTCTTTGGCAAATATGCTTGCCACAGAAGCATGGAAGAGAGGCTCCCTTCTGGGGAATCCCATCTATTTCCTGTGTGATATGAGAAGGTGAACTTGCATGGCCCACAGTGATCCCTGCTTATGTCTGGTGGACCTAACTCGGTGGTGCTGGGCTGATGACATCTGTGATAAAACAACTCAAGGGACTGCTTTACTTTTTCTTCTAAGACTCTAAAACAAAACTGATTATTTGGAAAACAAAAAGAAGGAAGAGAGAGGGAGATGAATGTTCAGATAAGTGAATGTTATGACAGATAGGGAAGCTGAACATCTTTAGGAGCCCAGAAACGGAGAGGCTGTTGAATTTATTTATGGAGGGGGCGTGATCCCTTTTAATCCTACATGGGTCACTTACTATTGGAGTGGCCTCTGGCAAATGCTTTGTCCCCATTTCTGTTTCCTTATCTATAAAACGACCAGAATATTGCTCCTACATCAGAGGTATGCTTTGAAGAGCAAATAAAATTATGTGTGCTGAAAACACTGAAGTACTAAACAAATGTAGACAACATATTATAACCACAAAGTCCTTTTTTGGTTTTATTGATTTAATATCTCCTTTCTGCCCTGTAGTCTGTTAGCTCTGTGAGAGAAGGACTTTGGTAACCTTGCTACTAGGCATCCCTGTACAGTGACTGACATGCAGCAGACATTCAACAAACATTTGTTGAACAGACAGGAGAACTTGGGAGAAGAATCGAGCTTTAAGTTGGAGCAAGAGTTAATCCTTCTCAGATAAATAAGACCTTAAAAACTCAGCTAGAAGTGAGTTTGAGAAGGGAATTGATTGTTCTTCAGTAGATTTGGAAATCAAACCAGTCACTAAGAAGGATTGAGGATGATAAAATTAACTCTTGTGCAGAAAAGGTTTTATCATGACTTGAGTCAATATTTTTGTTACTTAGGTCATGCAGTTCTTCGTCATTTTTATTAAATGCAAAGATATTTTACAGGTCACAAATTATTTTTTACATGATTTCCATTGAGAAACATGATCTTTAAAGACAAAGCAGAAGCCACAATGAGACAGTAGAAGGGGCGCAATCACAGTAAAATCATATCCCATAACTGCTGGGTGGGTGACTCACAAAATGGAGAACCACAGAAGTCCACCCATTGGAGTGAAGGTTCTGAGCGCCATGTCAGGCTTCCCGACCTGGTGGAGGAGGAATTCCTAGAGAATCAGACTTTGAAGGTTAGCGGGATTTCATTGCAGGACTTTGACAGGAGACTGGGAGAAACAGAGACTCTACTCGTGGAAGGCACACACAAAGTAGTCTGCACACTGGGAGCTAGGGGAAGGAGCAGTGACCCCATAGGAGACAGAACCAGACCTACCTGCTAGTGTTGGAGGGTCTCCTGCAGAAGAGAGGGGTGGCTGTGGCACACCGCAGGGACAAGGACACTGGCAGCAGAAGTTCTGGGAAGGACTCCTTGGGGTGAGACCTCCCAGAGTCCACCATTAGCCCGACCAAAGAGCCCAGGTAGGTTCCAGTGTTGGGTCACCTCAGGCCAAAGAACCAACAGGGAGGGAACCCAGCCCCACCCATCAGCAGACAAGTGGATTAAAGTTTTACTGAGCTCTGCCCACCAGAGCAACAGCCAGCTCTACCTACCACTAGGCCCTCTGATCAGGAAGCTTGCACAAGCCTCTTAGATAGCCTCATCCACCAGAGGGCAGATAGCAGAAGCAAGAAGAACTACAATCCTGCAGCCTGTGGAACAAAAACCACATTCACAGAAAGACAGACAAGATGAAAAGGCAGAGGGTTATGTAAGAGATGAAGGAACAAGATAAAACCCCAGAAAAACAACTAAATGAGGTGGAGATAGGCAACCTTCCAGAAAAAGAAATCAGAATAATGATAGTGAAGATGATCCAGGACCTCGGAAAAAGAATGGAGGCAAAGATCTAGAAGATGCAAGAATGTTTAACAAAGATCTAGAAAAATTAAAGAACAAACAGAGATGAACAATACAATAACTGAAATGAAAACTACACTAGAAGGAATCAATAGCAGAATAATGGAGGCAGAAGAACGGATAAGTGACCTGGAAGACAGAATGGTGAAATTCACTGCTGGAGAACAGAATAAAGAAAAAAGAATGAAAAGAAATGAAGACACCCTAAGCGACCTCTGGGACAACATTGAACACAACAACATTCGCATTATAGGGGTTACAGAAGGAGAAGAGAGAGAGAAAGGACCCGAGAAAATATTTGAAGAGATTATAGAAGAAAACTTCCTTAACAAGGGAAAGGAAATAGCCACCCAAGTCCAGGAAGTGCAGAGAGTCCCATACAGGATAAACCCAAGGAGAAACACACTGACACACATAGTAATCAAACTGGCAAAAATTAAAGACAAAGAAAAATTATTTAAAGCAGCAAGGGAAAAATGACAAATAATATACAAGGGAACTGCCATAAGGTTAACAGCTGATTTCTCAGCAGAAACTATACAAGCCAGAAGGAAGTGGCATGATATACTTAAAGAGATGAAAGGGAAGAACTTACAACCAA